TAAGAGACTAAAAAAAGACGGTGGTCAGAAAACAAAAATAGATGAAGAAAAAAGAGATCGAGAGGCAAGACCAAGCGAATACCTGGCCGGTCGAAACAATTATGTCTCAAAGGGCGCCACTGGCCTAGTTCAGAGCTTCCAGCGTGGCCATGAACCCCTCGCTGAGCTTCTCCCGTTCCATGCCCTCGGCATCATTGTCGAGGGTGAAGAGTTCCGACGATGGGTCCCATGGACTCACCCACCGGAGCGGGGGCTCATCCTACGCGGGCGGGTGGTGGCCCTCCGATGTCAGGACTAGGGACAACTCCCTGCCGGTCTCCTCTACAACCACCACGGTATTCGAGGGTCCCTTGGCCATGACCCCCTCCGTCCCGCCCACGGCGGGCGTTGTCTAGGGGCCGTCAGTGGCACGGGATGCGCCGCTGCCTCAGGCACCGCCACCACAGCTTCTGGCTGCGACCCATCCGTCATAGCCACCATCACCACCACCTCCATCGGTGGGACCTCGTCCGGCTGCACCGCGCCCACCGTGGTCGACACAACGGGTGCGGCCGATAGCTCCACCCGCCCCGACGTCAGCAGCGGCATCACTTCCGTCGCCGGTTGAGCGGCAACCTCCGAGGGCGCCCCCTTAGCCTCGCCGACCGCTTGACCCACCGAGGGCACGAGCACCACCGCGGGCGGTGCCAGACCGATCGATGAGGCTATGACGCCGCTCCTCTCACCCAAAACGGGAGCGACGTTAGGCGGCAACCCCCGTCTTGCCTGAAGGGCGATGGTTTTCTTGGGCGCCAATGCTATAGAAGTGCCTCATCTAACCCATCTCCTGACGCTGCAGGAGACACAAAAGGTGTGAGTCACTATGAAAAACAGAGAAAAATAGGGATAACAGAGGAGTCAGCAACTTACGTTGGCGTTGTTGGGTGGTGGAGACATTTGGGGGATGAACCCCCAGTTCCCTGCTCTAGCTCATCGGGGCGGGACCATTTTGGGCCCATCCCCTGCTCCCTGGCCGAGGGGCTCGCCTCCCTCGTATCTAGGGGCATGGCGGCGGAGCCACCCCCCTCTCTTGGCACCTCAGGCGCGGCGACGGATCCGCCCGCCCCCGCCAGCTCTTGGGGCATGGTGACGGGTCCGCCCGTCCTCGCTGATTCCTGAGGCACAGAGGCGGGGCCGCTCCCCTCTGCTGGCACCTCGGGCACGGTGGTAGATCCACCCGCCCCTGATGGTTCTAAGGATGGGCCAACGGCCCGGCCCGCCTCCTCCGGCCTCACGGCCACACCTTCCCTTGCATGGAACGGGAAGGGTCCCTGCATTGACGAGTGGATACCTGTCAGCGCGTCCTCGCTTCCTAGGTCACCCCACTCAGTGTCTGCCACTACCTCATCCTCCTCCTCCTCCTCCTCGTCATCGTCATCATCACTGTCTGTCTCCTCTCCTCGCTCCCGTGCCCATAGTTTCTCCTTCTTCTTCCTCTTGACCTCCTTCGTCTTCTTCTCCCACTCGACCATGGTGTGATTCGTCGCCGCCACGAGTGGGTCCTTTGGTAGCGGCCGAGCGATCCATAAAGATGAGTCTCTTCGGCTGGTCCCGCTATCCCAATGTCAGCATCAAGGGGTTGGAAGTTCAATTAAAAAGGAGGAAAGAGGAAAGAGAACTTACGAAGTCGATGTACCCCGGTTCTAGCCACATTGGGGGATGCCCCGGCACTAGATACACAAAGTCAAGAGCGGCGCCAGCGCCATCCCGCAAGGGCTCCATTGCCTCCTTGATGCGCTGCGCCACTTTGGAGGGGGCGAGTGCTCCATCGACAAGCGCCGTCCCATCGAGTGACGCTTCAGGCACCATCAGGTACAGGGGAAGCGCGCGACTCATCAGCGGCGCCACCCTCCACGTATGATAGGCGCCGATGATCCCCGACCCCTTCATGCCCCTCTCCTTTAGAATTTGGATGGCGGCGAGATGGTCTTGGATTTTCTTCTTGTATTTATTCGGGACCCCCCACTTCCTCCATGAATCCGGGGCCTCTTCGATGAGGCGTTCGGTGAACGCTGGCAAGGGGGCGGCTGCGTTGTTCTTGACGTAGAACCAATGCAAATGCCACCCCTTGTTGAAGGTCGACAGACGCATCGATAGGTATTCATTTACCTGGTTGTTGCGGAGCTGAATGACGGGGCATCCCATTGGCACGCTCAGCTCTTGCTTCTTCTCCCGCTTCTTGAGGAGGGTGACGGTGAAGAAGTGCCGCCACAGGTCAAAGTGGGGACTAATCCCCAGGAACCCCTGGGAAAGGGCGACGAATGCCGCAATGTGTTGGATCCCGTTGGGAGTAAGGTGCTGCAGCTCCACATTGTAGAAATTCAGCAGCCCCCGAAGGAACTTGTGGGCGGGGGTGACAAATCCCCGCTTGTGGAAGTGAGCGAAGGACACGACATAGCCTTCAGGCGGCGACAATGTGTCTTCATTGTCGGGCAGCCGCCACTCCTCGGTGGCACTTCGCGCGCAAAGAAGGCCACGACGAACGAGGCCCTCCAGGCACTGGAGGGTGACATTGGATCTACACCACTTCTCCATTAGACGATGGGGGTGGTTGGATGCGAGCTTGATGGCGGCTGCGATGTGGGTGCGGGAGACTCAGGCGATTGGCGGCGGAGGTTGTAGATGCATAGGTAAGAAGGCAATGTATGAAACCCTAGGGGCGAACCCTTTCATTTTATAGGGGCGATAGATGCGAGGAAGGCAACCATCCGCCTGGATCTCCGCGCCTGCCACGATTCACCACCACATCACCACGCGGGATATGCGCCCCCAATCCCTATCCTTTCCCACCAAAGTCACACTGGACGTTTTGCCTTCTCGGGCAGACCAGGACTCTTTTCCCGCAGAGGGGATACAGGTCAAAAAGCGTTTCTCCAGCCCGCCTGGGCCTAGGAGTTCGAGGGCTGGCCCAATAATTTTGATGGCCGTCCCAACGAAGGATGGGCCCGCGAGCGGCCAAAACTCAGGCGCACGAGCCTCAAGGGAGTCTCGATCCACAATCGAGTCTCAACCGGGCTGACCCTGGACGAATCCTCGTGAACGGGATACTAGGGTTCCCTTTAAACTATCTAGTTGTCAAAACACCAAATCTCACAGCCATACCCGTGAAGGGTCCGAATTACCCCCCGGGCGATTCTATTTGAATCACCTAGGGGCTCGGGGGGCTACACCCGACGGGTGCACTTGCGCGCACCCTCTGGCGAATCGAAATACCCCCAGGCTATTCTATCTGAATCACCCGGGGGCTCGGGGGCTACACCCGTCGGGTGCATTCGCGCGCACCCTCTGGCAAGTCAAATCACCCCGGCGATTCTATCCGAATCACCCGGGGTTCGGGGCTACTGTCGGAGACCAAATACTGGGGTACCCAAAGAGGTGGAACTAATAACCATCAAACGCTAATGCTTCCGAACAGACAAGAGCGCAATTACACTTCTTGCCCATACGACCGAAGGTTGGCTGCGCCTCGCCCGGCCCCTAAGGGTTGGCTCCGCCTCACCTGACCCCCGAGGGCTGGACTCCGCCTCGTCCGACGTCTGGGGCCAAACTCCGCCTCGCCCGACGGCTGAGGGTTGGCTCCGCCTCGCCCGACGTCCCAGGGCTGGCTCCGCTTGGCCCGACGTCCCAGGGCAGGCTCCGCCTCACTTGACGTCCGAGGGCTGGCTCCGCCTCGCCTGACGTCCCAGGGATGGCTCCGCCTCGCCCGACATCCCGGGGATGGCTCCGCCTCGCCCGATGTCTGCACCCTGCTCCTTCATAATGACGAGCACAGGGTAAGACAGGACACTCAGTCAACCACAAGTATCGAGGACCATACCACGCACGCTCATGAAAAAAGTACCATCAGGATATGACGGGACGGGCGCTTTAAGCCCATACAGGGATGATAGAGCCCGAACAGTGTTGTAGGCGCCAACTTTTGTCTTATAGTGTTGTGGGCGCCGCCATCAGCCCTCGGACGCGGATCCTGACATAAGCATACGACAACCACTATAATCCAGGAGGGAACTCATATCACCTACAGTAATGGACGTATGGTCACTACCCCATCTGCTCCCCGTAGAGTCACAGCTCGGCACCCTGGCACGCCGCACCGTCCATCGGAGTAGGATGGGACGTGACCACTTGTTGAACGAAGCCAGAGCACGACCCTATCAGGATTAGCGAACGTGCTATCCCTAGCACCATCTACCATGTCAGCAGGGTAGCCTCAAGGAAAAAGAAAGACCCGACACCTTCAAAGTACCTTCTCTACCTTTGGTTTTTTTCTCTTTCTCCCATCTGTAACCCCTGCTCCCCCTTGGTCTATAAAAGGGAGGGCGGGGCACCCCACTAAAGGGATGGATCGATTCCACACACATCACACGACACAGCTAAGCAGCATCAAGATCTTAGCACCCGTTCGACCTTTCCATCAGAGACTTGGGACCTGTCCCTCTCTCGACCATTTGTACCCCATACTACGAACCTTTCAGTGCTAATAATACAAGCAGTAGCAAACTGGACGTAAGGACATTCTGCCCGAACCAGTATAAACCTTGTGTCTTTTAGCACACCATCCGGACCCAACGCGCAATAAATATAAATTTACTAGTCGATGTTTATTCGAAACACCGACATGCATTCAGATACAAAAGTGTAGGATACAGCCACGGATTACACGTCATACATAAATCAGAGCTAGGATTTTTTTAAGCACAAAAGCCAGGCATCACCACAGGACAATAGAAGAAAAACAATAACCAATTCTCCTTGGGACAAAATCATCATAATTCATAAGTAAACATTATTATCGAAAATAAGCTCGGTACAATGAAAAACCAGCATAAGAACACACAGCAAAATAGAAGATACTTTATTCCTGTTGAGTAGCTAATATGGTTCAACAACAGATAACTGAACAACTAGCATAAGTTTAAGAGTGCATACTTAATACCAAAACAACAAGCTAAGCTGGATTATTACATGGCATCAGCTGGAAATATCCAAGTTGGACGCCACTGACCACCATGATGCTGTGGCACAGCTGCAGACTCTGATAACAAGGGTTTGATATTCCCACTTTTCATGTTGTACACACCACTGTCACCAAGAGGATCAGCACCAAGGTTCGCCGGAACATAATCACAAATGAAATATATGCAGTCCTCTTCAACTCCAGTGCACTCTCCAGCAGGAAAAGACTTGGAGCAGTGCTTCCCAACAAACAGAGCTTGGCCACCCAACTCAGAGACACATCTCCATTGGCCTGGTTTGGTGCTCAAATCTGCCTCAAAGACCTCAAACCCTGCAGTGTCGTCAGCCTCCAAGAGACAAGGTTCTATATCTGGATTACACCCAATCTTCGATTCGCCATCAACAGTCTACCGCAACATTCAACTAGATAACTCAGCACAATGTACAAGCCGGGCAAGGGTCTGGGCGGCACAAGTATTGTAGTGGGGTGACTGGTTATGCATAGGTCGCATGATATCTTTGGCTTACCATCAAGACCATAATTAATCTCAAATATTGAAAGCACATTTCTACTAAGATCATACAACTTTCCATTAAAGAAGGTAATATCATCAAGAAGGGACAGTTGTGGCTGGCCATGGGGCCAAGAGAAGCAAGGGTGCAACTCCAAGTCTACTGCAATTGGTGGCTGGCAGATACGAATTCTACGACCACCTTCCAAGATCAGCACAACAAGGGAACCTGGTGATGATTCCAAGGGCGAGGGTGCCACCAGCTTAAAGAAATGAGAATTATAATATCTGGAGTTTGAATTGAACCACGTGATGACTAGCTTAGAAATGTTAACTGTGGCCTTGGAGAAAGGGTTCATCAGTGAGCAGACACCGTCACTATGCATAAAGAACATCCAGTTGTCAACAGAACCACTGCAAAAAGCTTTATCTGGTATCGGCATTCTGATAATTTTACCATCTGGAATACTCAAGAAGGTCCCGTCAAGGAGGGTGAGCCAAGGAAGCAGTGGGGGCAAGGGATCTAGCTGAGCGTTGGAACGCCATGGGCGGCACACTGCCCTTAGTCGAACATGGTCAGCTAAGGAGGGCAGCCGCCTGAGAACAAGTCCCAAAATTTCTGGCAGGAGGTTTGGCCAAGACAAATATTGTACCTCCTTCATCATGAAAATGCAAGCCTGAGATGAAATTACACAAGGCTCAGAGTTACCAAACACAGACTTAACAATGTTAACATGAGCAGTGAATCAAACACCATATACTATGCAATAAGGCAGATGCAGTTTACAATAGCAGAATGACAAGCTTAGGGTTTCACAACTTTCAAATTCCGTTTGGAATGTGAATCTTGGAATGACTCCTAAAGTGAATTTACATATCCGTCTTTATAGAAGGATTCTCATGTATGCATATGACAATATTAAGGATTAAAATGACAAGCTAGGAAAACAAAAGAACAAACTGAAAATAGGCTAATGCAAGTTCACTTGCTTTTCTTTTATCTTAGGCCAATTGGTATTATCTGAAAAGAACAAACTGGAGTGATTGGGCCATAAAAAACAAGACATTAGCATCCCTCTATTGTGCACAGAATCATCCTCTAAAATAGTACGGTTAGCTAGCTAGCCATGTTAGTGTCAATGACCATCACTGCATATTCACAGTTAATGATTTAAATGGAGGTGCAACCATTCTGAAAACTAGAGTATACAGGAGCATGAATAGCACAGGTCCACACCAAACGCAGATGCAGCCACCGAAGTGGCTTCTATAGCACCAATGCAATCCTAACAAAAAAAAATTGAACACGTGGTTAAGGACTACAATGGCCAAAAAAATATTCTATGCACATTGACAGCGGTGGTACCTTGAAGTATGGGTTGAACCGTTGGTTGTTTGCAATTTTAGGGTGGACCTCAAGGGACGGTGGTCGTATCATTTCTCCACGGAGCTCTCCAATAGCATACAAAACCTCATGGAAGTAACGACTAATTGTTTCCAGACCCCTTCTAAAATTCAGCTCAATCAACCTAAACCTACAATTATGGCCAACTACTTGTAGGAACATGGCAACTTGTTCCTCAATTGAGCTGTTAATTGTGTCCGTAAGTAGACGCCTTGTCCTAAGCAATGTGCACAGGTGGAAAAAAGGGGCTCTCCTCATGCGAAGTTGTTCTACACAGTGGCGATCGTCATTGTGGAAAATGAACCTAAGGTTTGCCATCCTAATTTTGTCTCTTTCAGCTAAAGGGCCATAAGTGACAGGTGGTGTGCGACCTGCACGCCTATACACAAAGAACGTGTAGGCACACATTGTAGCAACTACTCCAGCAGCTTGAGCAATGATTTTACGCCGTTTGATAGCCAACTGGTCCATCTAGACATTTCAACCACGCATAAGTTGCAATAAAAAAATTGGTTATGAATAGGAAATTCATAGATAAAAGGATAGACAGGCTCAGAATTATTGAAGTTCTATGTGACCATAACAAAGACAGCAGGTTCATATCAGATTATGGCAATGTATTTTTTCTCTACTATATTATGGCGATACATATTTCAGTAAGTAAAAACATTTATTTCAGTAAGTGTTGCCGACTTGTCGTTAATCTTCCACCCAATTTGCTAATTTCACAACTACACTAAGTACCTGAGACATGCATGTATTTCATACTACATATATATTTCTAAGTGTATTCCATTCGTTACATTTCAAGATTTGACTAATAAAAGCAAAAGGACAAATTAGCAGGTCAGAAATAACTCTGATCTTCAGGTTGCTATACACAGGAAAGCCAAAATCAAATACTACATCATGCTAATCACCAACCGTGACCTGACTTATGTGGCAAAGGACATACAAAATCAGAGAATGTTGAGGAACATACCTCTGCCGAGGAGATGGAGGGGCCTACTTGCTAGCAATGTGTCGCAGATCTGCCAAGAGAGGAAGAGGTTAGGAAGAAGACTTGAAGACCCGGCCATTGCAACCACGAATCACGCCATCCCACACAACCAGGAGAAGTGGTGCACCCCAAATCGATGGGATCTGTTCGGAGAGTGAGATTCTGCGCATATACTCACCTGGAATGGAGAGAGGTCGCCGGATGGGACTGATTTCGCCGGACCAGTGGCGGAGCCTGAGCTAAAATTAAGAGGGGGCCAATTCCATAAGCTCACGCCACATCTACTACCTTCCAGCTTGCATTTACTCCATGAACTAGAAAAGCCAGCAAGTAAGATGAAAAATGAGATGAAGTGCTTGTGTATATGTAAAACTCGTTTGATGACATCGTGGATGAGCTCCAACATCATTCAATACAATGCCTGCCAATGCTTTAAGAAGAGAAATACTTACGAAAAATATATTGTCTTTACGCAGTATAGCAATGGGTTTTTTTTTTTTCTCGCCATTACAATTTTCCAACATTTGAAAAACGCCATTACAATTTATATTATTGTAAATTTGCCATTACAATTCTGCTTGTCCCTCACCCTTGCCCTTTTCTACGCCTGGAACGTACCTAGGGCCACTTGCAGGCGTCGTATTTGTGTATTCCCCGTATTGCCCCTAGTTAAGTGGATAAGGCACTGAGGATTGAAGCTGGCGTTCTCACCGTTCTTCTCTGTCCCTCCCGTGTTCTTCCCCTTTCTCCCGATGAACCCTAGCACTCGACTGGAGACGGCCGTGTGGCGGCGATTGGAGGTGGCCGCGCGACGATTGGCGATGTCGGCTCTAGCTCCGGGTCATTGACATCGGCGTTGGCATGAGACAAACAGAGGTGCCCCCATTCTTCTCCCTTTTCTCACGCACACCATTGCCGCGCGTCGTCGTGCTTTGCCCGCGATTGACGCTCGCCTGCTTTTGTCCTATGCCTTTGCCGCCTGCTGTTTCCTAGATGAGTGGCAGCCAATTTAAGGGAGGGGCAGCGGCATGCTCCAGCTCGGCGGCCATCCAGAGCCTGGCGTTGTTCCCTCTCGTGGACGGCCCAAAGTGCCGCATTCAGTTAGTACGTATCACAAGCAAGCAGCGGGAGACGTACGGCAAGACCTTCTTCAAGTGTCCAAACAACATCAAAGTAAGTCAATTTATTTTGTTCAATTTTGGATGGTGTTCATGAGGCTATGGTTTCATGTGATGCAGGATGACTCAACTACATGTCCTATCATCATGTCCGAGGCGCAGTATGAAGCTTACCTACGCAACCCAGAGCAGCACCCAATTCGGTCGAAGAAGGTGATCCCATTCAATTCAGTAGATGGTGGACATGGGTCTATGGACCTCAGTTTGGACCTGAAGCAAGATTTGGAGGTAGTGAAGGCAAAACTTGACAGTGCTGTGATTGATCTGTGGGAGCTGAAGGTGCAAGTACAGGTTGTGAAGAAGGACTACGTTATTATTGCAGCAGTGTGTGTAGGTGTAGCTATTGGTTGTCTTATGAGCAAAATATGGAAGTAGCCAGTGGTGTCGAATGTAGGATTTGAAAGCAGTCTGTGTGTTGCTTTTGTTGGTCAGCTGATGTATGCCAATAGCCAGACTGAAACTAAAATGTATTCTGTAATAGCTGTTTATAGTTTGTGTGCTTTCAGTTTGAAAATGTCTGAAATGTATTCTGTAATAGCTGCTTTCAGTTTGAAAATGTATGTATGGAAATTCAGATTGAGAGTCCTTCAATTTGACACATGTATTTCAGCAAGACAGAAGCATTGCTGGGATAATTAATAGGACAATAGCATTATTAAAATATATCTATAACTCATAGTAGCATCACTGTGACAATAGCACCTCTGAGAATAGCATTAATTCACAGCTTGTTCAAGTTTTGAAGCAGCTTACAAGCATTTCAGCATTCCAGTTCACAGTTTAGATGACATCACATGCATCCGCAAAATAGGCCATCACAGGTATCTAGTTCGCAGTTCAGTGCCATCACAGGCATCTAGATCACACACAGTTTAGTGCAATAACAAGCATCTACCTTCACAGTTCAATGCCATTATATTACAAAAGAAAGGTCACAAAATAGCTTGAAATGCACCATTAGGTTCACTGTCCTTCAGAAAATAGGTCCTTCAGGTTCCTGACAACCTTTGCTGGAGGAGCAGCTGCATCCTTCTTTTGCTTCTTCTTCAAGGTTTTTTTTTGTTCTTAGGAGTTTTCTTCTTCTTCGCTGCCTTCTTTTTCTTCCCCTTGGATGGTCCAGCATCATCACCTGCGCACTCTGTCCGCTTCTGTACATGCAATTTTTCAGTAAATAATACTCCCTCCGTTCCTTAATATAAGCCATATAGATTTCTAAAGAAAATTCCAAAATATAGGTACGTATCAGCTCCACGCTGATTAGTTTGGAAACCTTCCCATCGTACATAGCACATGCCCCAACCAATCCCTTAGATTTAGGAATCTTTTTTTTCTTAACAGAACGATCGATACCTATCGTTTTTCTCTATACATATGCATTCCATCGAGTCTGGCACGCGTATCTCCGTAGCTTTGTTTCTCTCCCTCTCTTTCACGCCAGACTCCATGGACAACTGCAACTCATCTTCCATGCCCAAGGAGAAGACAAAGCAAGCGATCTCGCTTCCAATGTACAAGGACACGAAGACGACGACCTTGCTTCCCATGCTGAAGGAGGAGATCAAGCTGGTGCCATGTGTGATGCGCGCTATGTTTGAGCCACCCTCGGATGGATCTTTAACGAACTGCAGTGCGTCCTCCCTGCCGGCGCCCACGCCATGAGCGCCGACCATGGCGCTATTGATGATGGACCACACCTAGTGCGCAAGACCATGGCAACCACCGAGCAGCGGGCCACCGAGTCCTTCGCGGACGTCAAGGACATGGCCATGTCCATGACGTGCTTGTCCCGTGTCGCCATGACCACCTAGTCCGGCGTGGTCGTCCCTTTCTCCACCGTTGCCATACGACTCTGTCACTTCTACCTCTATCAAGATAGCAAATCCGAATTATGCACAGATCGTGAAACGAATGAAGAATCGATTGCAGAAACGATGAATCAAAGTGGGAAAACCTGGTTCAAGCCACTCGTAGTCGTAGTTCAACTCGGCAGCATCCTCCTCCGCCTCATCGCCGAGGGCATCCTAGTTGATCCACCGGAGCGGCGACCAGCCATTAGAGATGTCGAGCTCGAGCGAGACCGTGAGAGATAGTGATGGGGAGGGGGGATTTATAGCTCTAGGTCATTGCTTTACAAAACGAAAATTTCTGATCATTGGCACCATTGTGATTCCCTCCTCTGTTGGAATTTTTGGATGAGCCAAAAAATTCCATTGCTTTTCAACTTGCCGAGGCTTTTCCCTATGCATGCCACGCGGGAGAGAGAGAAAATAACGCGTGTCGTCGCTCGCTGGAAACGTAGGCGGTGGGTCCAGCGAGGAAGAGGGGAAACCGATTAGGGGAGAGAGGATTGTCGGGTTCGTTACAGTTTGTTAGGAAGCAATTTGATTGGGAGAGAGAAGTGTCCTGATTTTCCTTTTTTTCCTCGGTCTCACATCCTTCCCCAAGCCGTGCGTTAATATTGGTGCTAAAAACTATATGGCTTATATTAAGGAACGGAGGGAGTAGTGAATAATTGAAAGTACAGATAACATAAAATAATTGAAACTAAAGATTACCATTATCAGCTCTCTTATCCTGTCAACTAACTCATGGAGATGAAGGCCTTTCAAGTGTTTGATCTGAGCATTGAAACTCTCAGACACATTATTAGTTAAATAGTCACATTTGCTGTCCTCAGCAAAGCCACATCTGTACCATATCCTACCATGATGCTTTTGAAGGTAGTCAATTGCCTCTGGAGCTTACACAAAAATTTTCTTCATGTGCCACTTAAACATATAATCTATGTAGCTCCTAGCTGCAGGGTACAGATGATCAGTGAAAACATCCCCTGAGTAGTGTTTCATGAAGTTGATGTACATGTGTCTCATGCACTCCCTGTTTTCAGCTTGTGGGAAAACGGTCCCTACAAGTTTCTCTAATCCTTTACAGGCATCTGAACATAATACTAGTCCCGGTGGGTCTCCTATAACTTTGTGCAAATTCTCTAGGAACGACGTCCAGTTGTCCTCAGTCTCTGAGTCAAAAATGCCATATGCTATATGGTACAACCAATTATGCCTATCAACACCTGTTGCTGAAGCCAACTATCCAGTATACTTTCCATGCAGAAAAGATGCATCTACTCCTATGAAGGGTCTACAACCAGCTAGGAATCCATCAATGCATGGCTTCAAAGCAACAAAAACCCTCTTGAACCTATTCTTGTCACCAATCTTCTCTAACTCTATCTGTACATGACTTACAGGTGAAGTCTGTTCAAGTTGAGCGGACCAATTGAAAAGAAGTTGAAAGCTTTCCTCATACTTACCATGAATTTGATCTAAGGCAACCTTCAATCCAGACCACGCTTTTAAGTACTTCAACTTTATTCCAAAGTTACCCTCCAATTTGTCTCTTGCATCCTTTGCTCCCTTAGTTGGATTATTCTTAATCCAATCTCCAAGCCTATCAGCACACCAGCCCTGAGTAGCCATTTTCCCTTCTTTAAGCTTGGTGGTAGGACAATTATGCTCTAAAGGAAGGACTTTGATCTAAAGAAAGGCAGATAAACATATAAATGCATTTGCAAATATGTACATGATTAAAAAAGAATAGAACAACTAAAAAGATCTAGAAAAATGTACCTTTACAGTTTTTTTTATCAAATATAGTGGAAGCATGTATTCTCCAAGGGCATCCCTCAGCAGCACATCTTGCTATAAATCTTGACTTTGTTTTGTAACCAACAGCAAAGGCAAACCCAGTCTTCACAGCATAGTGTCTTATTGCTTTTCTGAATGCAATGATATCAGTAAACAACTGCCCCTCCACTATTTTTGGGTCCTTAGGATCTTGTAGTACATGGACCTCTAGAGGGTCAGCATCATCCACCTCTGCCTCAACATGGACAAACTCATCAGATGGCTCAACATTGTGAGTTGTATCAGTAGTAGCATAAGTGTTAGCACTCTCAGATGACTTTGCAAACTGAGGAGCAGGTGGCACTATATCATACATGCCCTCATCATCAACACCCACATATTCTTCAGCATTATCAAACATATCAGGCTCCCCATCTGGCTCTATGTCAGCAGCTGCCTCTGGATTCTCAGGAGCAGCACTATTGGGTTCTTTAGGCATGTTAGCAGCTGCCTCTACTTGTCTATCAGGATCTCTATGTGCCTCTAACTGAACATTTGCATCATCAGCAGGAACCACACAGAGAGGCTCCAGTGCGTCAAATTCAGCTTCCACACAAATTGCCCTATCAAAAACACCTACTACAACCTGGCAGCTCATCTCCTCCTTGTACATTTCAAACAAATCAAGCATTTGTATCTCATTAACTAATCTGGCATCCTCATTCAATCTTTTGTCAAAGAACCAAACTGTTGGTGTGTGGTTACTACTCAGATTCAATTCAGTTGCCAGAAATTTCAGCAGCAAGTCAAGTGTCATGGACCCATACTCCACATTCCACTTAAATGTATGGCCTTTTGTGTATGATTTCCTACCAGCCGTGTCTTTGGACGCAAATCCTTCCACTTTAAACTCTACCGAAAACATGCCATCCCTACCATGCAGTAAATCGAACCCCAAATCAAAGTGTATACATGCACAATACATCGATGCCACCACACAAATCAAGCCTAATCCCATACTGTGATGACCACAACAAGGCAAAGCAGGAGGAAAGGGTACCTGGTGGCGGTGTTCTCCATCGCAGCCGCACCAGCGCGCGGCGTGCCCGAATCCGCCGACGCCATCAGGCCGCCTCCATCGCTCCCACCGGACGCACGCTGGTTAGGATTTGTCGCCATCGCCTCCAGTCGCAAGCTGACGCCTCAATCGCCGCCGCCAGAACGTGGTTAGGGTTCGTTGGACAGAAGAAATGGAGTAGAGAGAAGAAAGGAACACCAGCTTCAATCCTGCCTTATCCACTTAACCAGGGGCAATACGGGGCAGTACACAAATACGACGCCTGCAAGTGGGCCCAGGTACGTTCCAGGCGTAGAAAAGGGCAAGGGTGAGGGACAAGCAGAATTGTAATGGCAAATTTACAATAACGTGAATTGTAATAGCGTTTTTCAAAGGTTGGAAAATTGTAATGGCAAGAAACCAAAAATCCCTATAGCAATTGTTGTAGGCAGCAGCAGCAGCCAACTATCATGGGAGCTAAAAAAATCTATAGTGCCTGATAGCAGTTGCAGCGTTTAGAATAGAATGTATTGCTAGCCACAGTCCACGTCAAAAAGGCTATATATCTTAGTAAATTTCATCCCTGCATATTGCACCAAGCTAGCATAAGGTCTAGCATATCAAGTATCAAGTATTAGTAACAAATAAAAAGTCAGTTTTCACCTTCCTACACGTAGACCAGGGAGGGAAGGAGGGAGGGAGGAGAGCAGTTCAAAGACTTCAGGCGTATATATAGCAGTGCAAGCCAATTTTTTAATCGAAGCACCGTGTGCTGAGTTCGACAAGAGGTGCTGGGATAGCATCAGACGAAGAATTCACTCAAGCGTATTGCACTTAATAACGTACGTCGCAGCTGTTCACGTTTCACTCTTCAGAAAATTCCCTTTGACCAAGGGGAGGCCGCAGCCCCCTATGGCCCTCACGTGGCTCGGCCCATGCTAGCTATTGCTTTGGGCTCAAATCACACTCCCGGCCTACCAGTCCATACACACACAAGTGGATGGGCCCATTTATATCTGAACTTCGTCGTTAGCCATAATCATCTTGCCCAGCAAAAGTTAGGCCTTGAGCTTTCGATCACTTTTAGATCACTAGTTTTTATATTTTCTAAAAGTTAAACAACTCTCATAAGTCAAAAGCTCACTATAGTGAGCTCCAGGCTTTTAGCTTCCGTGAGTTTTTTTTTTTGAAAGTCCAAAAGCTAAGATCAAAAGCTCCCAAAAAGTCTAAACAAACAAGCCCAAACGGAAATGGAGTAGAGTTACAGAAGAGAGCGCCTAAGAGAAATGCAGTTCAGTACCGAAGGTCAGTGTGATTTATACCGATGGTTGGCCGGTGATCTCTTGAACTGAACAAGATCTGGTCTAGGAGAACATGTGCTCCCTCCATCCATGCATCTCAAGCTAGAATAACACTTTCTTGCAAGCACTGCATATTAGCTAACATAAGCTCTTGTTTCTACAAGACAACCCAACACGACACCCTACCTTTCGAGGTCTCATCACGCTTACTAATACACAACAAAGCACGTACGCACACGCACTGATCGATCAATCACAGGTAACCCAAGCGCACACTACTCATCACTCATCATGTCCGAGGCCAGCATCGATCAGCCTACTCTTCTTCGCCTTCGCCGATAATGAACCTGTCGGTGCCGGGGTTGATGGCGGCGACGAAGAAGAAGAGGACGTTGAAGATGACGAGCGGCTCGATCTCGTTGATGGGCACCCCCGTCTCGATGTTGAGATGCGCCAGCGCGCCCTTCCCCGTGATGATCTCGCCGATGATGGAGAAGGCCACGCCCAGCTGCGCCAGCCGCCCCACGAACAGCTCGTTCGACTTGGTGAACCCAAACAGCGGCCCTGCATCGCATGCACCGTAGGCACCACCATTAAATAAAAAAAATGTTCAAATCAACGAACAAGAGACAGCTGCATGCGAAAGTGACGTGAGCAGTTCTTTTTCTTTTTTTTTACCTCCCTCGCTGAGGCCGAGGGCGCCGCGGAAGCCCTTGCCGGGTTGGATGACGGCCTTGTCCAGGCCGGTGACCTCCTCATCGACGAACCTACCACGGTCCCTGAGAGCGCCAATGGCGCCAAGGAGGGTGAAGAGGATGAAGAAGAGGAGCAGGGGCTCCGCCTCATAGATGGGGATGCCCGTCTCCAGGTTCAGCTGGGCAAGGATGCCTTTCCTGGTGATGGCCTCTCCAAGTAGCGATGCCTGCCATGCATGTTCAAGACTAGTGTTAATAAATCCTCGTTTCAACTGACAATACTTCATAATACATACACGAGTAGCTGTCCATAACAAAATAATGCATAAATTAGACAATCTATAATTTATTTATTTTGGGAGACTGCTAACTACCGGGAGTAATTGAGTAATTTATTTCGGGTTCAAATTAAGTGAGTAAATCTTTTATTTTGACCGTTAGCGATTTTCTTCCACCCATCATTCCTCTTTTTCCCTACTGAATTTTCATCTAGAGCTGAAACCCAGCTGCTAACTTCAGAGGTAACACTTAGCAGCCATGTTCCCATGAGGAAACAAGAACGGGAACTTGAGTGTTATTTTATAACGTGGGAACCCCAAAACGTGGAATGTGGTCATGCTTCCGTTCGTAACAGCGACCACCGTATCCTGCTACGGCAGCAGTAGTAGCTATCACAAAAATTGAATGGCTATGCTTTATTGCCAAAGCTATATATTGTTGTTTTTCCTAATATAATGCCATAGATGGATGGTGTGCACTACTCTAATTATTTTGGTCAATATGAAAGATATCGCCTCTGTTAACTCTAAAAGATACTCTCTCCATTTTTAAATGTAATGTTTAAGACATGCTAATTAGCTAATAAAGCTAACTAGCTTATTCTAAACGTCATATATATTTAAATACGGAGAGTATATAAGAACATTTTTTTGTACTACTTCCTAAGTGTGCATGAATACACTCCATCGAGATGGAGCTGCAAAACATGGGCGTCAGCGCCTCCTAAATATACTCACGGCAAAGCCAAGCATGGCGACACGGCCGGCGAACAGCTCGTTCTCCTTGGTGAAACCGATCCCGTGGGACGTGCCGAAGATACCATCCGGCCGCTGGCAAGCCGACTGGTCGGTCCGCTGCTGTGTCGTTGCCACGTAGCCTCTCGGCCGTCCAGAGACCGACATGATACTGTACTTGCTATTGTTTCCAACAGCTTCTACGTTTGCAATTTTTCGATTAAAATATTTATTTTTTAAAAAATGGTCCTGTCGGTTTTGAGTTACCGACAGCTCTCCAGACTGAAAAATACGGGGATTAATCACTAGAATTCGAGTTTTTTCAAACGACCTCGGATGGACAAACAGCAAAAACGAAAGTTGTAGATCTCGAAAAGTTATGAAACTTTGTAATTGACAGCTTTTGGATTTGAAATCATCTTGCCATGAAAAACTATGTTTGAATTTCTCAAATTTGAAATTCAAATTTTATAAACGGCCTCGGATGGAGATACTACCAAAATAAAAGTTGTAGATCTCGAAAAGTTATAGAAATTTATAGTTGACAACTTTTTTCATTTGAATTCATTTATGGCCTTAAACAATCAATTTATGCCCGGTTTAGGATAATACGTGGGGAACCAAAATCTAATATAGACACAAGTGAGTATGTGGGCGGCTGGCAAAACCGCTCCTACAAACTAACTGGAGCTGCCTCTACTAATCATTTCTGTAGCAGTGGCATAAGATGATGATAGCTTTAAAAAGGTGCACTAATTCATGAAGCTACAGTATAATGGCTTTTGCAACGTTTAGTTAACGGCGTTTGGGGATGACGCCGACCACATCACAGGGTTGTCGCTCTAAGGTGGTGTGCAGTTGTCGTTGCACGTGTGCATAGCTATATTCGACAATAAAGAAAAAACATAGTACATTACTAAGGCTACATGGTTATATATCATCATCATCATTGATTCATTGTGATTGTGAATATAAAAAAGCATTGATAGAAGTCTTTGCAGACCACCACCAGCAGCAGCCAATAGAAATACATACACATCAAATACTTATCTAGGTGGATGATTAGCCGTCTATGTGATGCTGAGTTCACTGTCACGCGAAGCTAGCGGATTTTTTTATAATGTAAATCATGGCTAATAGAGAGAAAAACATCTGGTCCACCCGCTCGATACTAAGTTGGCGTGTTTACTGATTGCTCATAGTCTATTTGCCTACGGGACTCACCTAGAGATGGTTGGCTCAAGAGAGTGACAGAGAGGGAGAGGGAAGGGGGGGGTTGCTAGGCAGTGGCGGATTTAGCACCGTGTCGGTCGGAACTCAAGCCCCCTCTTCCTTGGTTGGAAACATGAAATCACGTCTTTCCAGAAAGTGTAACTTAAGTGATGAATTAACGGGCACATTATATATATACATACATACATACATATATATATGGTCGTCGGAGATGTGTAGAAAGAAATAAACAAACCAAGGCGGTTCAACACTTGTCGATCATCGTACGTAGCTAAATATTAGGTAGAGTTTGCCATGTCTGTCGGTCTCCCACCCTGTGCGGCATGGCATGGCATCGCCTCACCAGTGACTGATGTTGCTGCTGCACATCCTGGCATAGCCACGACAATGACCAAAGCCTAGTACGTAGAGCTCTCTCCGCCAACTACCTGTAAGTGCACGAAATTGAATCTTGGCGGTGGGCGAGCTGAGCTAAAATCAAGAGGGGCCAATTCCATAAGCTCATGCCACACCTAACTAGATGCTACTACCTTCCGACTTTTGCGCTTGCTCCATGAACAAGAGAAGCCAGCAAGTAAGATGAAAAATGAGATGAAGTGCTTGTGCATATGTAAAACTCGTTTGATGACATCGTGGATGAGCTCCAACATCATTCAATACAATGCCCCTTAATGCTTTAAGAAGGAAATGCTTGTGAAACATATATTGTCTTTACGTAGTATAGCAATTGTTGTAGGCAAAGATCGATAACTGTCATGGGAGCTAAAAAATCTATAGTGCCTAATTGCGCTTAAGCGCGTTTAGAATAGAAGGTATTGCTAGCCACAGTCCGTCAAAGAGGCTATATATCTTAGTAAATTTCAGTCCAAAGATATTGCACCAAGCTAGCATGAAGTCCAAAGATATCAAGTATCAAGCATTAGTAACAAATAAAAGTCACTTTTCACCTTCCTACACGTGACCGGGGAGGGAAGGAGGGAGGAGGAGAGCAGTTCAAAGACTTCAAAGCATATATAGCAAAGGTAAGCCAATTTTTAATCGAAGCACCGTGTCTTTGAGTTCGCAAGAGGTGCTGGGATAGCACCAGACGAAGAATTCACTCAAGCGTATTGCACTTAATAACGTACGTCGCAGCTGCTCATGTTTCGCTCTTTAGAAAACTCCCTTGACCAAGGGGGGGCCACAGCCTCCTATGGCCCTCACGTGGCTCCTCCCATGCACCGAACGGAGGGAGGAAGGAGAGGGCAGCATGGTCTGGAGAGCAAGGGGCGGCGCGGTCTGGAGCAGGAGAGCGGCGCGGTGAGGGTGGTGTGTGGTGACGGAGGGGAGGGAGTAGCGAGTAACCCTAACATGCGAGGGGAGTCTCCGGCGTGTCCGCGGCTTTGCATCCGTCGGGCTAGGATGAGTGAAGCTCGAATCGAGCTTCGCTCTTGGGCCAGGATGGCACCGTATATTTGCACAAGCGGAGTCGAGATTCAACAGTGGAAGCAGCCATCCAAACGAGCTTCTTTGGAAGCATATTTGGAAGCATGCCATTTGATAACCCATGTGATTTTATTAGCATATGGTTAAACAATAGAGTACTGAAGCTCAATAGGAAGCTCTAGGTGTTAGACATCTTCTCGTCTAATGTGATAGGAATATATTCCATTCCATGACAAAGATAAATCACCGATAATAGTCTTTCACAAAAATGAAGGAGCAATACAAGATTGATGAAGACGTGAATCCATGAGCTTTAGTTGGGCAAATGTAGCTGATCTAAAATTGAGTATTTGGTGAAGTTTTTAAGAATTATTGTCATGGCTTATAGTGAAGAATAAATTGATGGCACGGCTGAGGTGACAACCCAAACTAGATAGATTTAGTGTTCAGCTGAATTGAGAGCCTGCAACTTCCTATCTATAATTGAGTACTTACATCTATAAAACTCTTGATGCAAATCAGTACATATCTAGGAACTGACGCCAATTGCCAAGCCACAAGTGAAAAAAAGCATAGAACTTACCCAACTCTTGAATATATATTTTATAATGACACATGTGGTCCACTGAAAAGAAAATGAATCTATAACAGATTATAAGTGTCCAGCTGAACTGAGAGCCTACAGCTTCCTTATAGAGTGCACAGTCATAATTCATAATATGTGATGAGCTGTGTTCTTGTTTCTCGTCTATTTTTGTGCATAATAAAATATAAATGATAAGTTGCAGCAATGAATTACCTGTGCAACTTCTACAATTTAGCAAATGGCAACATGGTTTATATTTTGGAAACTTAGCAAACAAGGTATAAGGAAATGATATTAGAGGAAGCTTATATTGATCTGAGTACATTCAAAGTGGCTATTGGAAATCATTAGTGTAATATTCTTTAGCACCCACTGTTGTGCTCAGTAATTCTGTTGCTCCTGTATGACACAGGAGCATAAAAGATTAATAAAGCAAGCAACAATTCTGTCAAATAATTAGCATGGATTTACTGCATTACACACTGACCTTGGATTTCTAGGAGCAGTGCTTCAAACCTTCACGAAAGGCATCAACTACCGAGCTTGTCCCAAACACGATATATTTGAAATGGGAGGCATCTGTAATCACAAGTTGACCTTGAGTGATGAAAACTGAACAAAGGAAAAAAAGTTTGTCATCTGAATTTGTAGAAGAGCAGCCTGATAAACACCAAGAGAAGGCATCTTGTGCGCCGAGAAGTGTTCACTTTGAGGAAGTGGACATGGATTTTGAACTAAGATTACTTGAGTCACATTACAATTAATTAAATATCATAAAGTATCTTGGGTCTACTACATAACTTGATCAAAATAAATATCAATGGAACTAACTATAATTAGCTGCTGACATGCATGTTTATTTTGTTTGTTACTTAGTTTGTTTATTAGTCAGCAGATCATTCCACATAGACAAACCACTGAGTACATGGTGTGTATCCATCGCATGCACCTGATCTTAGCAACAAGATTATGAACAGTGCACAAGTGTAGGGTGTTTGTGAATATTGTGTATTGCTAGCTGCTGCTAGTTAACGTTTGTTCTCAAGAGCTCTGTATTCAATGGAAAATAAGTAGTACCTGGAAATTTTGTTTTGTACATGCTACAAAGCTACACCTACATAGATTCAAGTCCTCTCTTAACAATAGTCTTTCTTCTTGGATGAATAGTTTGTCCTGTTCTAAAGTTCTTCATGCTTTTTCTTGATACTTCTGTTATATTTTTCTTTCTTTTGCTATATTTTCTTTGCATTGCATATCTGACATGTGCTGATGAAAATGGTTATGAATTTGGAGAAAGGACAGAGTTAATAAAGAAACTAAGCGGTAAACTTCAGAACAACTGTGCAATGGTTCGAACCCTACCAGCATACTGTTCATATTTTACTTTTTTCCAATAGCATCATTGCAGGACTTTCTATAACTAAAATCTACTTGTATAAGTGCAATATTACTTTCTAGATGTCAAATTAGGATCTACTACAGCAAAAAACCATATTTTTTATTCCAATATTTCTAGATGCACATTATAGTGAGGCTGGTACTGAAGTCATATAAAAAAATTGGCTGTGACCTGTATTTTCCCAACTACAAGTAGCAAAGAACTAACCATTAATCAAAGCAATGAGATTAGCATAATCACATGTCAAGCAACAACTTGACACACATGAGCTGCTATTTTAGAGCCTATTATTTGAACTGTATGTGTAGTAAAAGGTATAAGTATGTATTTTTTGCTTTCATATTACTAAAATATCTTAAATCATATAAAATAAGTTTTACTTTTTATCTATATATAATTATGTAACCCTATTAAGCAGCATGGTAGTAAGCCTCCACTACAACCTGTAGGTATTGCAGATGCAGACTCACCTAGACCATAAACAAATGATAATACCCAATATGATGAGTGCCTATAAGAAAGAAT